ACTTTTAATAATGGCAAGCCGCCAGGGAAAGCAGCATTCCCATTTTAATTTTGTGCATCTTTTGAAGAGAAGTCACCCCACTATGTGCCTGTGTACATTTAATCATTCTCTACACACTTTACCAGCAAGCCTTCTCCCTGTAGGAGGAATACAATTAGGTACAGTACTAATTTATTATAAATAAAGCAAAGGCCTGGTAAAATAACCTAGTTATCAATGTTTCATACAGCTGTGCCTATGAAGTACTAGGTAACATTCTCACTATGTGCCTAGCGAAAAACCTGCGGCACTGATAAATCCTAACCAAGTTGGCTTTATTAAAAAAAAAAGATTATCATCACATAATACAGGAAAACTGTTGATTTTAATTGAAGCAGCCAAAGATTTATGGAAACCAACTGCAGCTTTTTTTTTTTTTTTTCCTACTGATACCATAAAAGCCTGCAGTAAGATCAATACGGAAGGGCATCTCAAGTAGTCAAGGCTGGGATTTTTTTTGTGTGTGTGTGCCCCCCAACCCATCCTATGTCTTTATCTCCACCCCCAAATTTAGTCCAAGTGTTGTTCCACGCGCAGCAGCCCCCTCTCCCCAGTGACGGGGCCTGAGGAGGGCACAAGGCCTCAGCCTAGGGGAAAATGGCGGCGCAGGGGCTCCCTCTTCATGTTGGGACCCAGGAGGCGGAGGCCGCCTCACGGGGAGACGTGGCYGCCGCCGCAGCAGCATGATCCACTCTTCACCGCAAGGGAGCCGCAGCCAGCTCTTGCGTGGTGGCCCTTTTTCATGACGGAGCATCTCGGAAAAGGGGTCGGGCTTTAATCTCATTTTTTAAAAAACAGACCATTCAAAAGGAGTAATTGATTTTCTTTTTTCCTTCCCGCAGCACAGCGACAATCTTTTAAGCGGCTATTACAAGATGTTAAGCGGGAACAAATTTACGCTATGACCCGAAGAGGCCGCGCTGCGCCTAGGCAAAACAGGCCCTTCCCTCTCCACCTTCTCAGCCAAATGCAACTTCCTCTCATTTCTGAGCTTCCAGCATCCTCTCTCCCCGCTAACGGATGGGATAAGAGGGAAGAGCCAAGGATGTGTTTTTCCCCACCTTCTGCTGCTCAGAATACTGAAGAGGAAATTTCCCCTGTTCTGGAAGAGACACAGTGATGTAATTGCAACAAAAAGGGTTAGCAGCTCAATTCATAATCAGCCCTACATCTTTCCATGGCACAACCCTGAATATTAATAAATTTGACTGCAGAATTTTTTTTTTTTCATAAAAGAATCTTGATATAGGCTGGCCTAGTGGGACAGCTTAACAGAACCACAAAGTAAGGCTTCAGGTAGTTCAGTTATTTGAAACCATTCTGCTGGCCTCGATGAACATAAAGCCACTAACAGCACTGGTTTGGAAGCATCAAAATGACTCTCGTTAGGGCTCACAAAGAAGCATAAATACTGAATTAGCAGCTTCAATGGGGCTCTTGCTAGGCTAAGTTGCCAGTTTAGCACTTCATGGATGCCCTGAAGAATAGAGGACTCAATACAGTATCCTCCTGAAAAAAACAGTCTCCTAGAAAACACACTAATAAGGGTAGAAACATGAACTCTAGGGAAGTAACAGTGATATCTTGGCCCATTTTTGCTCTTGGAAAATGAAAGGACGGACATAGAAATCCTCCTTTCTCCACCAGGAGGAGGCAAGTTTTCCACTTGTTTCTGGTTTGTTGGGATGGAGCAGCTGTGAGCGCTGCAGCCCAGAGGCAGCTTCTGCAGGGAGGGCTAAACTCACCTGCTACACAGGGGACCCTCAGCAGCACCACGTASGAGACTCAACTTGCTGGACCTGACGCAGCCAACATGTTCTCTTTCCTGTTTCTAACTGTTAAAATGAAATAACATTTTGGCCTTCCCATATACTTAAGAACGCAACAAGTTCCTGTTTATAAGCTTCTTGCTTTGAGGTTGTTTCTCCTAACTTAGTCAAAGTAACAGCTAGAAAAAGATGAGAAAGGTGGCAGATCAACTGACAGCATCTGAAATTATGGCTCGTGTGGTAGTTTGTGATGGTAAGAAATGGAGACACCATAACCTGTAGATAGACTAGACTAAGCAAAAACGGGCTCTCCTCTTGGGGTTCTCTAAGCTGTAACACAACATACTTGGGGAAGGAAACTTCTTCCAAATTTTCTCTGAAAAAAAATCTAATTATAAAATACTTAGAAAATAACTAATTTATGAAATTAAAGATTTTTAATTTATGACCACAGCTTCAAACATAGCTACTTCAGCCAGATGTTATCATTTTCAAACAGCAAGTTCATAATACTCTTTTCCCTCTGAATGAGCACTCAAATGGAGCTGTTGACATTTCAGATTCTCCACCTCTTAAAATCTAATTTAGTCATAATACATACCAGATTTGTAAAATAAACTTGATAAAATATTGCTCAAGATTCTTGCTTGGACTTCATACAATTGAAGACCTTCTGTATTCAGGCAAGTTTGGCCCACAGCATTGTGACTACCAGTTTCTGACTTTMAAAAAAAGCCCCAACATTTCTGCAGCAGCTTCAGGAAAATTCTTAACTATCACTTTTATCAATGTAAAATATGTCAATGAAAGTCAAACTCACTGGAAGTACTTCCTTTAAAAATAATGAATTAAAGAACAACCTGAGTGTGCTATGTTTCTGTGATTTATTTTCTCAGTTTCAGATGATCCATCCAAAGAGCCCTGAATACTGTRTTTTAGTGCATTCTCCTGTTGTGTCTTTCACATCAAGTCTCTGAACATCTCAGGAACATTAATAGATGCAACTTTAGGAATAACTTGAATTTCAGTTTCACATTCAGAGAATCTAAGTCTCCAASTCTCACTGAGTATCTGTGGAAGATCTAAAAATGAAATTCAACCTTCCAATCACTTTAAATTTGCTATGAGAATATGAAAACACAGAGACTCCCTCAGGTTTGAAGGGACTTTGGGAGACCGCCTTGCTCAACCTCTCAGCACAGARGGCGGGCTCTACACCAGCAGCCTCTTGGTGACACTAACCTGCTCCCAACTCCATCAGCTCCTATGGCAAGGCTAACTTTCCTCCCCCAAGTTTTGCATCTAGACACAGGAAGGCAACGTAGGAGGCCTGAGAGCAGATGCTGACAGTAAAGCCTGAACAAGTACCAAGTTCTTCAGCCTTAGCCACAGCTTGCAGCACAAGGTCACCTATCTCATGGAGAAAAGTAGCCGCATTTCCCCAGGTATTCCCCATTTCCTGCTGCTGTGCTTGTAATAGCCTTTCTTGATGTCCTCCTCTGCCCTCACCAGCTTTGATTCCAGCCAAACTTTGACCTTCCTAATTCTGTCCCTACATGTCCAGACAACACTTGGATATTCCCCGTTGGAAGCCTGTCCCCACTTCTTTCTCCGTCTGCTTCCTTCTGGCATGTAAGCTCAGTTAGGGGCTCATCTGCCATCTCAAGTTTCTATTACAGGAATTTCTCTTAATTTCTTTGAAATCTTACACCCAATAGCATAACTTCTCTTCAGTTCCATGGAGCTACAATGTTACTGCTGTTTAGAAATGACTACTATCAGTTTTGTCACCTTGACTATAAAGTTTTGTTTTTCTGTCATTCTCTATTATGGATAGATACTTCTGCTATAAATGATTTGTTTTATCTAATTAAGCTGTGCCTAAAAATACTACAGTTTAACACACAATTGTGTCTTGTGTCATCTTACAGCAACAGCCTCCCAAATATGAACTAAACAATACTAATTCACTATGACAGCAGTGATAATTTAAGTCTTCTACATAGAATTGCAGCACCTGATTTTTTCCCCCTCTGAATGTTCCACTAGGAACATTTAGCAATGTTATTTTCACTTTCTAGGACAAAACACAGAAAGTATATAAGCTTTGTATTTCTGAAGGACCTATAAGGAGTTGAAAATTAAAGATAGGACTATTAAATACAATTGCTTTGAAAAGCATGAACTCCCAAGACAMAGGAAAGACTAAAATTCCATCCAAATTTTTGAGACCACGTGAGAACAATTTTCAAGATGATTTTCACAATTTCCAGGACAGCTCATTTGTATTCAAACTCTCAACAGGTTTTGCTGTAGTTTGAAGCACTGTAAATAGACAAGAAAGCTTAGAAAATGGTGATGGTATTATGGCAAATTTCTGTTCTAGCTTAGAAATACTTTTTATTAGGAAATATTCAGACAAGTTTCTGATATACATTGTTTAAGATGTGAAACATTTTAAAGGGAATGGTTATTTTGAGGTACTTTGACACTTCGACAAAGTTTGCTTGCAAGCATATATATGTATGTTAGGTGATTCTTCCTTATAAATTAAACAGCAGCAAAAACAGCACCGATACTTAACACATCTACATTTATATCCCACACTGCTCTCTTTCTTGCAGTTCATTCAATCCAAGATGCCCTCCAAATCCTGGTGCACCAAAGGTCTAGCTTCTTCCTCCATAGACATCCCTAGGAGCTTTAGATATAATGAGGATAACCATAATACWCAATCTGTAAATCTTTTCAAACATCTAAGGACTCAAATGCACACACAGTAGCTCACAACCTGCACATGCTTTTGTTTCAACAACAAAACTCCCATCTAGTGATTCTAAACTAACTTTTTTGCTCTGTCTTTGCTTTTCAGAGTGTATTTTCTCTTCTATAATACATAGGTAGCAATAATAACAACGATAATAATGACAAACCCCACTCTTCCTCAGTAAGTGCTTATGCCCAGCGCTGTATTCCTCAGAAGTCACTTCCACCTATTCACACAAGATCCCTTTCAGTGCTGGGCAACGAGGCTTCCAACACCTCCACCAAGCTAATCAATGTTACATTACTTTGTATATCTTAGAATTTGTCTCAGGTCTCTCTGGATGCCACCTCCCCACGGCAAAGGAAATGTCGTTCCACATGTTCAGTTTAGTGCTGATGATATGCCACAAATAAATCTTTAATTACCTTTCTGTTGAGAGCAACACCATCTTCGCAGTCCAGCACCGCACAGTCTACGTGTAGGGAAGGGATTTTTCGTATCTTCTTTTCATCATCTGCAGGTACATAGAGCACAGCTCTTCTGGGAACGTACTTGTGAGATGATGCAAAGTGATAACTAAGCTTTGGAGCACCAGCTGCCAGAGCAGAATTCACCCTGTAAAGGATACCGTTGAAATTAGGCTCTTGTCTACAAGGCTGGAAGGAAAACCTGACTATATTTTACAAGGGAACCATTCCCACTTAGATAGTTGCTGGTCTGGGGGTTTGTTTGTTTTTTCCCCCTGGGGAAATACATAGGTAGGGAGTACCAGTAATGAGCGTACAAAGACCCAAACCTCCACGTGCAACACAAGTCACAAAACACAGAATGGCAAAAGCACCAGGGCTGGTGTCACCCGCACAGCCCCAGTTCCAACTTGGGCAGCTCCTGCATCCGAAAGGATTCTCTCCTCGCAGCACACAGGCTCCGGACGGCTGGGGGTGGYGCGGGGAAGGGAGCAGGGCCACCTGGTGAAGCTGCCATGGCCACATCGGCCGGGCCGCACACSGTGAGCGGAGCCGAGGCGCTGCCGAAAACCAACACGGGCTTGCAAGGCTCAGTTTGCAACACCGGGGTTTTTATCAACAGAAGTGCTCGCATGCAAATTTCAAATAAGCCAGCGAGATGTACAGGGGAAACAAGAGAAAAGCAAGCACCAAAGCCCCTTAATGCAGTAGCTCACTAATYCCAACGTGTCTTCTCCGAAGGGCCTGCAGGCCCACGGCCCAGCTTTTATGGGCAGAGCTCATAAACCCACGGGTCCTTTTGGCGGGTGCTCGGCCGTGGTGCCTTTTGGCCGTTGTGGTTGCCTTGTGCCCCACYTCTCCGCGGCGGCCTGGGCCTGGCACCGCGCGGCGCGCGCCGGGGGTCGCACCCAGCGGCTCGGGGCCGCCTCCACCGTGTCCATGTTCTCCGCCGCGCACCCGGAGGCGGCAGAGACGCCCGGGAGGGCAGCCTTGCGCRCAGCCAGCAGTTAATCTCGCTCCGTAATTGCAAGCCCAGAGGAATAAAATTGCAGAGGGTACCACCATGGTTCACAGCCCTTCTCAAAACCCTCCCCTGCTCCCGGGCCTACTCACTTCACATTGTACCTCCCCCCCCCCCGGCCTATTCTGTTGCACCAAAAATGAGGCTAAAATAATACAATTTGCCTTCGTACGCAGGGCACCAGTCACTTACGCCACCAATAATCCTAGCAGCTAACACCATCATGCATTATCATGCACATTATTCAGCACTTTGAATAATGCAAAGCTTTTCTAGCAGCGCACTCAATGTGTCATTATCACATCACGTCAGGGACCCGTGCGTTTTCCTCTGCCCCTCTTAATAATCCTCCCCCAGTCGCTACGTTTTGGATGACACATGGCTGCATGTGCCAAGTGGGTTTTCTTCAAAGTGAGCACGACTAACCCTCTCAAACGCTTGAAAACGAGTTCAGTCACTGTAAATCAGGGCAAAGGCGATACATCGCTGACAGGCCACTATGATACGTGCCTTTCTAAACCAACCCTTTCCCAGAATTTTCCTCCCTGTAGAGTTGGCATCCTGGAAGCAAAATACAGATGTGGTTTTAAAAATAGCAAGAAAGCTTTTACCACATTCTGCTCTAGGAAATGAAGCTGAAAATGGCAACTACTCCACCASCGGCTCTGCCAGGTCTGCGCGTCCTGGCTGGACCCACAAAGACCCAATGCCATGTTCATGCTGGTAACATGCCTGTGGTGCCCAATGCGGCCTCATCACCAGGGCAGTYCTGCTGTTTAGTAACAGAGAGGCAAGGGCCAATGCCACCCTTATTTATAAATGTTCTCCACCTCTCACTGCAGCAACTCCGAGTTATACACGGTGGCAATCCTGACCCTTGGTACTTGGGAAACACACAACTGAGACCCACCAAGTCTCCACCAAGTCCACTGCTTGCCCCTCTCCCATGAACCAGCTCACGCTCCCGGCCTTCCACGGAAGTGGGAATAGCCACGCAACTCGTGGCGACTAGTGTTAAATCCACCTAATCCCATTTTCTTGCAGCAGCCTTTGGGGGAACGAGGAGGAAGAGTGGGAGAGAAGGGCAGCTCAGATGGAAATAGGAGGGTCTTTCTTCCATGTGACACAGAGGTCAGCAAGGAAGCCTGCAGTCCTCCACTCTACATATATGAGGGGACTAAAGTGATTAGCTTCTAATCCCCTTCTCTGATGGCTTCAATGCCGCCATTCCCCAAGGCACAAAGGGCTCAAAGATCCGGCTCCATTAATAGTTAACTCCAGCGYTGAGGACAAGCGGCCCCTGAAGCACCCTTAATGACCTCCTCTCACCAACCCCTCAGCCACCGAAACCTGAAAGATGCGACTGAAGCCCTAATCTCCGAGCACACAGAGCAAGGATGCATCTCCTGCCCAAGACTTCTCCCGGCCTCTCTCAAACCCAAGGCTGTTTGAGCCGCTGGTTTCCCATTCACTTCTGCAAGCCCCGCTCCTGTTATCCTGCATTGACTCTCCAAACAAGGAGCACCACCACGTAGAGTGTTTTGTGGGTAGAACTCTTGTTATCTTTGGGCCAGATGTAGAAATCAGTAGCCAGTTGTCCCCTTAAGGCACCTAAACTTTCCTTTCAACGGGGCAGCAGTATGGCTCCCCAGCAAACCAGCTATTCCTGAAGAAGTGATGGATTGAATCCATGCAAACACCACCTCCTGATAATATAAATATCAGGATATATATATATTATATAAATATATATCAGGATATATATATAAATATGTGTGTGTGTGTGTGTGTGTGTGTGTGTGTGTATATATATATATATATATATATATATAAATGCTATCAGCCAGGGGCTACCACATCTCCTCCTTAGCTAAGCAACTCTGTAGCCCCCTGGAGCCAAATATGCGTTTCTCAGGACACAGATTGTAAGAGCATACTGTCAATTTGCCACAACAGTATCATGGAAAAGTTCAGTAAATCTAAAAAATAATCTTTTGTTTTGYTTTKTTTTTCCAAAAGAGTGTCAAAAAGCAAAGTGCAGAGTGTCAGCTGACCAGCACAGCATCTTCCCCCTTTAAAACAAAGAGCTTCACAAACGTAAGTGTAAAATAAGTTTCCAACAAGTATGTTTGGGTCTGACTCCCAAATGGATATGGCCAGTCTATTTTCATATACTATGACACACATTCTTAAAAATTCCTCTTCTCACTCTCACTATTTTTAGAAGAAAAACAAAACAAAACAAACAAACAAAAAACAACCCCCAAAAAAACAAAAAAAAAACCAGCACCACCATCTGAATTACATTGGTAACCCCACGCCAAGGGAAATAGTACATATATTGCCTGACTGCAAGTATTTTAATGATTCAAACTAAGCTTAAATATGCTTGGAACTAAATTAATGGACATAAGCCAAGTGAATTTGCTAGGACAATGTTTCTTGCTTTAAGTGCTGTAAGTTAAAATAAGGACTAGACTACTGGGTAAAGCTCGTTAAATTGTTTTACGGCAGCCTATTTTCATTCATAGCAGCTAGGAGCACATTGAGTGCTCTTGGGGTCTTGAAAATGAATCTACATTTCTTCAGCAAACATAACATTCTCCGTACATCTTTCTCAAGTATATAAAAACAGTTGGCAAATTAACGTTACTTTTGTTCCTCTGATAATGGTTCCACCCAAGAGAGAAYAGTTCATCCTTACACAGGAAAAATCAAAGCCTTTTTGGTTACTAAGAGACATTACAACGTCTATCAAAATACCGTGTGACTGCAACCAGTGAAATTACTGCAGATTATACAAATGTCCCTGCTGTAAAATGCATTTTGAGATTCCAGAGTTGCTCCTGATCCCACATATACTTAACTGTGTGCACCTGTGCAGTCTCATTAGCACCAGCAATTCACAGTTCACAAAGTACTCCCACAAGTTATATTTAGGCTCAGCACCTTAACCTGCATCTCTATTTAATGTATATTATTCTAGAAGAGATGCTACACCACGATGTGCCTGCTCCGTGAAAAAAATACCCACTGCTTCTCAGGACAGATCCCCAGCTCTACATTATGTGGCATATTGTTGGCAAAGAGTTAGGAATGCTGCTTCCAAAGAGCGTATCTGGACATGTGAACAAAACCACTGGAAATGCAGGTTCCCTGGTGCGTGTTCCTGACCACGTGCATGTAGCTGTGTCCCAAAGGCAGTCCTGACTTGTCGCAATGGGGAGGTGACAGAAGTGACCCCRGCCCTAACACCCCCATTGAACGCAGCGCAGCTTAGGTCGCAAACCCTCCTGCAGTTACTCCTCCTGCAACGCCTGCATAAAGCCAAGGCAAATGCCATAAATATTCTATTTCTGGTTTTACTACGTCCCATTTACTAGGGAGCAGCTCGCAAACAAACCCAAATAATCCAGCAAAGACAAAGGGAACAGATATGAAATTACAAAGCAGCACCATTTGCATGGTAATTCTCCTCATTAAGCGAGGAAGACACAAGTTGTTTGTTATAAACATCAGCAGGCCCTTTGCAAACAGCCACGGCTTACAGCGCAGCTAAGCTGAGCATTCGTCAAATCAAAGGGACTTTGCTGTGCGTTTTATTGGTACAGCTGCGGCGCATGCATTTTATCACACATGCTAATAACGCTAGTTATGGCACTAACATTTTAATCATTTGTTCTGTGGGCTTGTTTCTCAAACAATTAGCACTAATGAATGGCCAAAATACCTCGGATCATATATGTCTAATTGCAGTCAAGAGCAGTTATTGTCTGCATGTACATTTCAATTCACCTCTGGGGATAATGTTTGTTAATTGTATTTCTTTATATAGCAAGTGAAAAAAGGCTGTTCACTCCAAAAGGGACTAAGTGTTCTCTTCTTTCCCTTTGTTCCCACAAGAAGCTAAAGTCACTTCAAGAGGCACTTAATCCCATCATCCATGGTTACAATTGCCTTACAGCATCAATCAAAAAGAATCTGAAGTAAAATGATGCAGCTATATTGTGTAATTAAAAGCAATTCAGGTAGTTATTGCTTGGGGCATTTTCCAGGTCCAAATACTTAAAATGGCACTGCAGGGATTCTAAATACTGTAGTGTTTTAAATTTGGTCAACTACAATAT